AGTATTCTTATGGTTTTATTATTTGGTAGTTTAAAATACGTTTTGTAGGTATAAGTGCTTTTAAGTTTTATTTTTGTTAAGAGAAATAATGTTTAAAAAAATCTGTCATCAGAAAGAAGTTTGGTTAACAATTAGCAAACCTGCCAATGAGCTTCAGTCAAGCTCAAATTAATAATTATCATGCCTATTGTGTCGAAATCCAGAAAGCTGTGTAATTCTAGGAAGAGTCATGAGATAGCAACAGATTGAGTACTAAGAACCCTTAAATGTAACTCTTCCATCTCTGGGCAGAAAAAAATGACAGGAACAAGCTGCCACCATATTATTGGTTTCTGCTTAGCCAACGACATGTTAGTTTTAGTTTCAATTAGAAGTTGATGCTGATAGATGCAGAGAAGCATGGTTTTGTTCTCCATATACTCATGAAATGAGGAGCCGGGAAGGGAGGAAGAGCTTCTGCTTAGATAAGCTGAGTACCTACTAGCTTAACTAAAGACAAGCCGTGTTCTTAATGGTCAAAGGCCCAATGTTGGTCTTGACTTAAACCTAAGAAGTCAAGGATAGGGGAAAGAACTTTATGGAAGAAATTTCCAGATAAGTGGCACCCTAATGCTGAGGGCTTGCCAGCACATACAGGCAGTGATGATACGGACAAAACTCTTGCTCTGTCTTGAGCATAGCTCCTTATGTTTGATTTAAGTACTGCCCCTTTGATATTCCTGTTTTCTTGTAGCTAGATTGTCTTCTCTAAAACATGGCATAAAAATCTCAATTAGATGAGCAAGTTATAGAGATAGCAAAATGTACAAAGGGTTTATAGAAAGTATGAAATGAGGCTTTTGTATTTTATTTTTTAAGATGGTAATTAAAGTGGAGGTTTTGTTTGTGATTACCAGTAACATTTTTCCAGATATTTTCAAGGTATATAATATTCAAGATAGGCAAACATATATACAGATAGTGTGTATATGTGTGAATGTAATTCTAAATACACATTTTAAATTGATTCTTGCATTGTGCATATAGCAATGTATCATGGAATTTTTATACCAATAAATATAAGCCTGCAGTTAATGATGTTAGCGTATTCCACTGGGTGGATGTATTCTAACTTATGTAACCAGTTTCTAATGACGGAGACTTTGATTGTCCGAAACAGAGACTGAGCGACACCTAGTGGAATCCAGAGAAGTTTCTATAAGCACATGTTTTGCGAGTCCAGCTCCTGTATGGTAATGTGATGATGAACACAAAGACAGAGCGGACTTTCTGCAGATGGAAAGACCTTAACTTGACTAAGAGAGAAGTCACAGGCCTGAAAACTTACAAGACCGTGAAAGAGCAACATAGTTTTAAGGGACCTTCTAACTTTGTTTGAGTTAAAAAAAAAAAAAAAAGAATTCATCTTTAACTGTCAAGACCCTAGAGCAATATTTATAAACTTTTTAACCTCAGCCCTTATAAGAAATAAATTTTACATTACGACCCAGTACACGCTTACTTATATATTTATAACTGAAACAAGAGTGTCAAGAAATGGTACTTTCTCTTGCTCTATGCAGTGTACTGTAATGTTTTCCATTTCATTTTCTTACATGCTGATTACTGTCTGCTAAATTGATTTTCTGACCTGCAGCTTGAAAAAACATTGTCTTTGAGTCCCATGAGATTACTATTATGTAAATATAAATTTATATATCAACTATATTAGTTGTTATTAGAAAGGAAGGCATGTAGTTCAAAACATTACTGTTAGAATGAGTTCTGAAGTCTAGGAGTGGCTTGTAGCCCTCTGCCATAAGTTACTGGCTTTTGGGGGTCGGCCTGGAATCATAGATCAGGAGAGAAGACAGAAAGGCTCAGGCACTGGGAACAGGAAAAGATGGCTGCACTAGAGCTAGGCACTGAAATAAATCCGTCTATCCAAAGCTTTGCTTTGAGCTTGAATCTTGCAGCTGATCACCGGCAGATGAAATTGCCTGCTGTCTCTTAATTAAAAGCTAAATACAGTAATATATGTCTATTCTTACAGAGCTGATCCAAAAAAGTTCTTAGTGACTCTGAATTAACTATGGCTTCAATATGTGCATTTTATTTTTTACCTAAACAGAACTGGAATATTGCAGTTAAATTAAAATTACTAAATTAGTACTTAAAATTACTAAATTAGCTCTGATACAGTGTGATTAGGGTTGTTACTTAAATGCCATTCTTTATGCTTCATAAACCCTTTTCATATTCATTATCTCACTTAATAGTCATAATAACTGGGAAGTTGGAAGGTTAGGTTTATTATCCCCATTTTACAAATAAGGGAACTATAGGTGAGAAGAAAAAAATAGTTTGCCTAGTTTTTTTCCATGTTGTAACACATATCATGCATTTTTTTTAATTGTAAAAAACCACAACATAAAATTTATTAATCATTTTGAAGTGTACAGTTCAGTAGTGTCAAATATATTCACACTGTTGTGTCACAGATCTCTAGATCTTTATCTTGCAAAACTAAAACTCTGTACCTGTGAAATAACAATTCCGCATCCCCTCCTGTCCCCAGCCTCTGGTAACCACCATACTGTTTTCTGTACCTATGAATTTGACTACTCTAGGGACCTCATTGAAGTGGAATCATACAGTATTTGTGTGTTTGTGACCGGCTTACTTACTAACATGATAACTTCAAGGTTTATCCACGTTGTAGCATGTAACAGGGTTTCCTTCTTTTGAAGGCTGAGTGATATCCATGGTGTGGGTAGGCCACATTCTCACCCATTCATTCCACTATGGACTCATGGGTTGCTTCCATCTCTTGGCTTTTGTGAGTAGTGCTGCTGTGGACATGGGTGTGCAACTATCTCTTTGAGATCCCGCTTTAAATTCTTTTGGATAAATACCAGAGGTGGGATGGCTGGATCGTACCGTAGTTCTATTTTTAATTTGTTGAGGACCCTCCATCCTGTTTTCCATAGCACTGTACCATTTTACACTCCCACCAACAGCGCATGTTTGCACCGTTTTGCAGGTAACACAACCAGGGGTAAGTGTGCAGAGTAGGGGCTCCCACTGAGACCTGTGGTAACAGGCGGACCCCAGCCTACCCCTGGGGCTGGTGTGAGGGTACGATTTGGGCCGGGGATGCAAAGCCCTCCGCAGACAGACAACCCCCTCCCTCCAGGGGAGGCTGCGAGGCCGCAGGGTGCCAACTCCTTTCCCTTGCCCCCACCCCAGCAGCCAGAGCCGCCCGGGAGGGAAGGTCGGCGGGGACCCCAGGGAGGCGGAAGGCGCCCCCCGGGTGGAAGCCGGCAAGCGCCTGGAGGAGCTCCGCCGCCGCCGCGGGGAGACCGAGAACGAAGAGTTCGAGAAGCTCAGACAAAAGCAGCAGGAGGCGGCCTTGGAGCTGGAGGAGCTGAAGAAAAAGCGGGAAGAGCGGAGGAAGGTCCTGGAGGAGGAAGAGCAGAGGAGGAAGCAGGAGGAAGCCGATCGGAAAGTCCGAGAGGAGGTAAGCGGGGCGCTTCCAGCCCAGGCGCCGATGCCCAGATGCCCTGATGCCCGCGCCCGCGCCGGGCCGGGCCACTGCTCTCTGGAGCGTGGGCTTCCAAAAGTATATTTTAGTTTATTATTTACGGGTTTTTATTGGTTATGAATATTCATGAGATGCAAAGCTGATCGTCACCCCTTGTGCCCAAGACGTGAAGGCCAGATTCATACTGGCAGCATACCCTTTGCCGCACATTGCGATTGTACCTGTGTCCCCCACCCAATTATCCTCATCCTGCCTCTGCCTCCCCGTAACCCGCCCCCCCACTCTACTTTGTAATAAAAAATATATATATATATATATATAAATATATATATATATATATAATTTTTTGTAAATAATAAACCTGCTGTGTGCTAGGCACGGTTCTAAAACCTTTCCACATGTTCTTTTACCCAGTTCTCATAAGATCTCTCTGATGTGGGTACTTAACCCCATTTTTACAAATGAGGAAACTGAGGCACAGAGAGTTTGTTGTTGTTGTTGTTTTTGTAATTTTCCCAAGGTCCCACTTGTCTTAACCCATTGGCCAATATGGCCTTTCAGTAGAGAAAAGTTAGAAAGCCAAGAAGGATAAAGGTCTGCAAATTAGTTACATGAACTAAGTTACGTGATAGTTGTTTTCTAATATTTGAAGAATTTTTATAGAGAAGATTTTTTAAATTTTTCTTGTTTTTTGATTTTTTTTTTTTAATGGAAGAGTAAGTGGATTGGAATGTAAACAGGCAGGGGCAGTGTCTGCTTTGTTCACTGTATACCCAGGACCTAATACGGTGCCTGACATGCAGCAGAAGCCCTATCATTATGAGCAGATGAATTTGTTCCATCTTTTAAAACAGAATTCAAAACAACAGATACAGTTACGAGGAGGAAATCCTTGGCTCAGCATATGAAAAAATGCTTAACCACCTACAGCTTATGTTGCTGCAGTTTACAATGTGCATTCTTTCCTTTCATCCTGAGGTACATTATTCTTCTCATTTCATGGGCAAAGAAACCAGGAAGCAAATAGTTTGAGTGACTCGTTTGAAGACTTTTGACTCACAAGTGGCAGGATCAGTACTGGGATCAAGCTTTTCCCATTTTGGGTCTAGAGCTTTTGAGATAGCGATCTCCCATCATTCTTCGATGACTTTCTGACTTGGATCCTATACAAAGTTTTCCCTGAACTGTGTGGAAAGTTGGGATAAATTGTTCCAAGATTCTTCCAGCTCCGACTTTCAATGAACCAATGACCTTTGGTTGGAAACTAATTGAGGTGACAGAGGTTTGGAGTTAAACATACCAGGGCCTGTATCCTAACTCTACCACTTACAAGCTGGGACCTTGCAGAGTTGCTGGACTACTCTGTGTCTTCTTTTCCTTATCTGTGAAATAATATCTATTCTGCAGGATTGTTCTGATGATCAGATCATTGTATTCACACTGCCTGGCACATGATAGGCCCTCAAAAAGTGGCAGTTATCATTATTGTCATCATTGCTGTTATTATAATGTGGAGGAGGAGAGTTATCAGGGAGAGCAGAAGGGAAATCATGAACTCTTAGAACTGGCTTGGACCTAGATTATTTGGTCTAACCTCCTACCAAGCACAGGATCCTTCTGCAATATGAATATCTGGTCTCTGCTTGAGAATGTCCAGTGATAATGATATCACAGTTTGCAAACTACAGAAGACTGCAGAAATTTCTTAGGAGGTCATTCCTAGAGGATGTGCAACGTGATGAGACCTCCAAATTTTTTGCCTGATGGAGAAGACAGGGCAGAGTATTCTAGGCCAGGAATGAAGGCACAGAGGAGTTAATGAGGCAGATTGTAAACATCTGCACTTTCACCACTGTGGCACAGTATCTCCATCCTTTCAGGTTTGTCAAACCCTCTAAAGTAATCTATTTAATTGAGGTGGGGGTAGGGGGTAGCCATAAAATCATGTCTGGTACAATTTGGCAAATAGAGTACCATAGATTTCTATAACTTTTTACATAAGTCACCTTATTTGCCTTCACAACACGCCTAGTAAGTAGGAAGAAGGGATATTCATATTCGTTTTACATATACAGAAATGGAAGGTCAAAGTTAAAGGAATTACACGGTGGTGATGATAATGTATCACCATTATGGGTAGCATCACACTGAGCATTTGTCTAAGGACTTTGCATGTGCTTCTCATTTATTCCTCCTGAAAGCCCCATTAAGCGGGTACTATTATTATTCTTGTATTACAGATGTAGAAACTGAGGCACAGAGCAGATGAGTAACATGCCCTAGGTCGCTCGGTTGGGAAGGGACAGCACCAGACACAAATCCAGGCAGCTGGACTCCAGCGCTCAGGCTCACCTCTAGTGACCACCCTCGAGGAAGGCTGGCTGTGCTCCCACAACACTCCTTCCTTTGCCTCGATGCTGACAGCAGTGTCCTTGTTGCTTGTTGTCTCTTAGGAAGAGAAGAGGAGGCTAAAGGAAGAGATTGAAAAGCGAAGGGCAGAAGCTGCCGAGAAACGCCAGAAGATGCCAGAAGATGGCGTGTCAGATGACAAGAAGCCGTTCAAGTGCTTCACTCCTAAGGGCTCATCTCTCAAGGTATATTTTCCTGGAACAGCTTCTTTTATAGTATCTCTATTATAACATCATAGAAACTTGATTTTAGCCACTTATTTAGTTATTGGTGATTCAAGGCCTTTGCTTCATTTAGCTTTTTGCTGTCCTGTGTTAGGCTGTTTGGGCTGCTATAACAAAATACCTTAGACTGGGTAATTTAAAAAAAAAAAGAAATTTATTGCCTACAGTTCTAGAGGCTGGGAAGTCCAAGATCAAGGCCACAGCAGATTCAACATCTGGTGAGGGCTCGTTCCTTGTAGAGGGCACCTTCTCACTGTACCCTCACGTGGTGGAAGGAAAAGGGGCAAACAAGGCCCCCCAGCCTCCTTTATAAGGGCACTAATTCCATTCACCAGCGCTCCACCCTTATGACCTAGTCACCTCCCAAAGGTCATACCTCCTAATACAATTTGGCAAATAGAGTACCATAGATTTCCCAATTATTTTCCCAACTTCTATTCCTTGTTTGTGGAACTCTGAACCTTGTTTCTCACTGTTAAATTACGTTAGCAATGAATGATTTTTGTGACATAATCTTCAAACAGTTCATGGAAAGAATCGTATTATCTTTCAATTCTATTTTTCTGTGAATGTTTTTGAAGTACCCTCATACGTGTGAAAAAGAAATTTTAAGTAAATCGAATATAAAGTTTTCTTAAAAATTATTATTGTTTTCATATATCGGTGTGTGGCAGCGTGTGGAGTAAGGGGAGTACCAATTTTCTAAAACTAGTAGTATGCTTTGAGTTTTATCAAGACAACACTGCCACCTCTTGGTCTTCAGAAGAACCAATTTCCCTCATTAAACTCCTTAAATAGAACATTTAACTTAGAAATTCAGTGTAAATTGTTACATTACTTAGAGACACTAAATGAAGGAATTTTTCAAGGAGTGCATCAGTAAATGGTTGGTGAGTGCTGACAAAATGGGATCATGAAGTCAAGCTGTATTTGCTAGTGTAGATAGAAAAGAAGTAGGAGTCTGAGAGCCTCTGTAATTTGCATAAACGTGATGGCCAAGGTTAGAAAGATCCCTGCGTCAGAAGGATGCTGAAAGTTCTAGAAAGAACGGTTCTCGGCTCTGCCACCACCCCCTCCTTGTGCTCCTCTCCTTCCACCCAGCTGGATTTCTCTTCATTCTCCAGATCCACCACTCTGTGTGCCTCCTGGTTCCTCAAATCTTTGTACACTTGAATATTAATGATGCTTTATTATACTTTGAACTACATGTAAAGAAGTATGAGGGGGTCTTCAAAAAGTTCAGGGAAAGATTCATAGTATCTTTTGCTTCTATTTTTCCATGAACTTTTTGAAGTTCCATTACACAGTAATAAAGATAAATTATACAAGGTTTTAAATAGATTACTACTTTCAGCCTAATATTCTTTAATAAAGAGTTTATTCTTTTAATGAATGGGTTTATTGGTATGTAACTGTATTATTATTATATCTTCACAAATATATCTTCAGTATCTTTAATTCCTTATAAAATGTGTTCCCATATGTGGCTTAAACCTTACAATCTTGCATAATCCTTTTTCATGTATAAAAACTTTTATTATCAAATAAAAGTAGTAGTATAAAGTAATATGAACATAATAGCCCACCAGAGTTTAATCATCATCAATTTCAAATTGGTTATTTTATATCTGAAGGAGCATAGTTTTATGCTTCTAGCTACTCCAACTTTTTTTCCTACCCAATTGACATGGGAGTTTGTATTTGGAAATAATGTGTATTTCTAAGTACCAAAGCACTAAGAGGGAAGGTGTCATTGATCAAGATGTGATCCTGGTTTTTTCTGCTTTGTGTAGATGTTTAGTCAATGGTTTTAGCCTGCTTCTACATCAAAAGTGATTGAATCCATTTGATATGATTTTCTCCTTTCCTTTGTACTCTATAGATACTTATAAAATAATTCACAAATGATAACAGGAAATAAGAAAGAGAGGGATCTGATGATTTAGCAAATACATAACCAAGTTCTAACACTTAAGACGTGATTTTTATTCACAAGATTAAATATCTACTAATATATATCACAAATTGCAGATAGTTATTTTCTGTGGTTGAAAGGTCATAGCACTGATAGGTCTAATGAAGCCAAGACTGTGGCTTCAGACTTTGCATAGTCCAGTGAGATTGTTTTTTGTGCCATGGCCATTGATAGTGCCACTTATCCTGGCTGACCATCTTGACCATAGGCCACAGACCACAAAGCAGGACCAGGAGAGAAACTTGTGCCATTTTGGGTATGCCCTTCATTACTGCTGGGAAAGTATCTCAAATGCACACCTTTCTTACTTACATCCATTCTTTCCTCCTTATGGTATATTCTCCATGCAGTGGTATCTCAATATTTCAGTCTTTTAGCACTACCCTGCCTCAGGACCTTTGCACATGCTGTTACTACTGCATGGAGTGTAGTTTGCTCTTCCTGTTTATGTCACCACTTCTGAGTTTTCTGCCAGATCAGGGTTTTAATGTCACTTCCTCAGAATAGCCTTCCTTGACCACCTCCCAGCCCCCAAACTAAGTATTTATTCCTCTAATCTGTGCTCTCTGGTCATACTTTATAGCATTATTTTTTATAGCACTCCATTATTTTTTATAGCACTTTCCACAATGTGAAACAAATACTTAATCTTTCTCTCCTATTAAAGTATAAGCCCACTGCAGCTTAGAAAGTGGACTGTCTTGTTTTGAGCACCACTATATCCTCAGAGCCTAGCAGAATGCCCTGCACATAGTATGCACTTAAGAAGTATCTGTTGAAGAAATGAGGCAGAGTATCATCCTAACAGTAAATGATGTCCCAATAAAAAGCATATTTCACTATCTTTTTTTTTTTTTCAAAAGATGACTGGTAAGGGGATCATAACTTGGTGTTGTCAGCACCACGCTCTCCAAGTGAACTAACCGGCCATCCCTATATGGGATCCAAACCCGTGGCCTTGGTGTTATCAGCACCGCACTCTCCCAAGTGAGCCATGGGCCGGCCCCCTATATTTCACTTTTGAAAGATCATCTGATCTAGCTCTTAGGATTGATTTTGAGGGATGTATGTCATCAAAATGCAGTTTTACAACAAATTATGACTCTTGGTTTTTGTGAATATGTTTACACAATGAAGTTTTAAAATGACAATGTTGAGGAAAACAAGGCCACTATAATTTTATGAGAACAGACTTCTCAGCACCAATGCTAAAAATAATTCACACCTTTCAGGGGACAAAAACTGCGAAACCTATAAAGCCAGCAGCCTCAGATCTTCCTGTTCCTGCAGAAGGTGTCCGCAATATCAAGAGCATGTGGGAGAAAGGGAATGTGTTTTCATCCCCCACTGCATCAGGCACACCAAATAAGGTGAGCATGTGATTGTTGTCTTTTAAGTTTAGAGGGCTGGATTTTTTTTTCCGTTTTGACTTAGGAATCACACTAGGTAATAATAAAAGCAGTGAAGAAGGTGCAATTCATACTTGTTTTGCAATGACTGCAAAAGCAAGCTCTCCGAGAATGTGTTCGTGTGTACACTATGCACTATGCTCTCTGGTCATGGAAGTCTAAATAAAGTGCCTGAGATCAAGTGTCAACCCTTGGGATTGGGGTAAAGTGAGGTGTAGAGGGAAGAAAACCAGATAATATATTCTTTAAATATCAAGTTTAAGATGTATGGCTATGTGAAGTAATACTTAATGGTATTTTGAGGTTGCTTTGAAGATTCCTTCCCAGGTAAAGTTTACTTTTTTCTTTAACGTTTTGGATGATTGACTCTTTGTAGGAAACTGCTGGTCTGAAGGTGGGGGTTTCTAGTCGCATCAATGAATGGCTAACTAAAACCCCAGATGGAAACAAGTCACCTGCTCCCAAACCTTCAGTAAGTAGCTTCAGGTTTTTCTGAACGTCTTTGATTTCCCAGCTTCTAGGAGCAGCAGCAACAAAGCAGTTGGTCTGTTTACCCAGGAGAATAGTGCTCCTGTTCTTTGCTGTCACTGCTGAAAAACAAACAAGGAGGTGTTCACATTTAGAACAGTCCTAAGCAGCTGCATCGTAATTACCCAGAGGGTAACCTGTAACCAAGTAATCACCTCTCCACCCTGGCTGAGAGGAGTTAGCCAGAATGCTGAAGTACTTCAAAGTTAGACGCTTTACTGGTCTATTTCTTTAGCTTCTATTCTATAAATTATGGACAGGAATTTGAAAATGAAATGTCAAGTTATGTTGGTTACTTCTCTGTCAAGAGCACCCCTAAACTTATACCCAAAAGAATGTGTAGGTTGGTTATTTTTAATTCATATTTTCTAATTTGCTAATTTCTATAACTTGGCACAAAAATGCAGTAATTGGGTAGTTGTTCAAATAATTGCTATAATTTTGTTGTCAACACCTCCAACGGAAAGCCATAAAAAAAAAAATAGTAAAACTGGAAACTGGAAAAACTGCTTATGAGTGTTGTTTTTAAAGTCTAAAATTTTCTTATTTATCAAGTGTAGCTATCTTACCATAAAAATGTTCTTTTAACCTTTTCATGGAATATATATGATAATTGTCTTGCATTTATCATTATAATAAAAAAGCCTACCATCAACCGTATGTCATCCTAATGGGAAGGTTAAAAGAATTAAATTTAGTTATTTTTACAACAGGTATAACTGTGTCAAGATTTCCACACCATAAAGAAAAGAAAAAAAACATTTTCTGGGGTTATTGACAACATCTTATAAATAGCAGGACAAAAGGTATTACAGAAAAATTACAGAATCATGGCCTGCTTTACCTACTGTTTGATAAGTGATTTGCTAGACTATCTTCTAGAGGGTGGAGAGGGAAAAGAAAGAAGACTGTGGCAATTGGTATGGATTTTAGTGGTCTCTTTTCACTGGATTTTGTAGACTAGTGTGGCTTCCTCGGTGATGACCAGATTGGAAGAAAACAATAGTAATTGGTATTGTAAATAAACTGCTAGTTTGAGTTTACATATTAAGCACCTTTAAGCTTTGTGCACATTCCAGTGAAAGCAGTAACCTATATTTTAGAGCCAGCACCATGTCAACATGGATATCAACATGGCAGTCTCCTTGGGAAGAGGACATGACTTGGCCCCCCAAGGCAGGAGGCTAATTCACAGACACTCTGGGTCCAACAGAAAAGAGATGAAGTTTCAGCAGTGTGGAAAGGGCTGACAGGATCCTGCTGATGCGTAGAGGTTGGCAGGCAAAAAGCTAAGTCCAGGGAAGGCAGTTTGGAAAGACAGGTCAGACAAGGATCCTAGGTTTTGTCCCTGGGACTCACACTGGTTGCCTGCAGCTAAGATTTGTATAGCTTGGCCCACAACATTGTGTGTTATTTTCCTTTTTTAAATTGTAATTTGAACACATTTTGAGGTATGAAGGCATGCATTTTTGAATTTGTTGATTCCCTCTTTTCCTTATTTTCTTACACCAAGCCTCTTTGGGCATTTGTGTTTCTAGCTTGGCCCTTCACAGCAGGCATCTGACACCTTTGGGACTCTGGCCAGACTGACCCTGAGCCCAGGATGTCAGAAGAATCTCATCCTATTGTTTATATTTGTTGGCATGTTTGGGTGGAAGAGAGAGCTTAGGTTTGTGTTTGTAGATGTGTGGCATGTGGCCATTAAGACAAAATCAGAGGGCAGTTTCTTTCAACAAAATGTTTCTCACCCAGTGAAATCCTGAGGAGGAGGAAAAGAGTAATTCATAGGATTAAAGTATTGAGTTCTAAATTCATTAAGAAAAACCTCTACCAGTAATTATGTAATGATTTTCAAATCTGCTAAGAATTAGAAATGCTCAGAATAGTTTGTCAAATAAATATTACTTGGGGTCCCTGAAAATTAACTTCTTTGAAATTAAACATTGATCTACACAGGGTTCCTTCCTATTGCTGGGACATCTATTGCTAATTGTGGGTAGAATTTACAGGATTTCAGCGTAACTTTGTAACTGAAATTCAGTTCTGAGTATGTCTGTTTTCGCTGCTTTGTCTATTCTTTGTGTCTCAGGTAAATGTTATACAGCAATTGAAAAGCTAATTTGTCTTTCTTTTTGTTTTAAAAAAACTCGACAATGTCTTTCTCAGCTGACTTCTGTTCTTCACTCTTTGGTCTCTGGTTGACTGGAAACCTGCTTCTCCTGCCTTCATTTCTCCTCTTCTCCCAGAGTGGGTCTTTCTCTAAAATGTAGTCTGGTCAGGTAATTCCATTTATATTTCCCTTTTGATTTAAAATGCCAACTTACAACTCGGATGTTAATATTTTCTTAAAGAAGATTCTTTAAAGTCTTTAAGTGATCTTGAAAGATTCGTCAGCAGGATTTAAGGGAAATGCAGTCCAATTTCTTGGGTAGAAGAACGTTCATGTGAAAGAAAAATATTTGTCTCATATGAATCAAATAAATAAAGTGATAACAGCCACTTTACAGAGCTTCCATCAGCATGTTCCTAATATAGTTTCCAAAATTTTAAAAGTCTTCCAGACAATTTGGCAACTTCTACTTACACTGGCAAATGTAGTGGAATTCTTCAAAAACAATCTGATTTGTTTCTTAATAGTTCCAAGTTAAATAGGTGTAACTCTCTAATAGAATATCAGGAATTCATGCCACAGAGGAAATACAGAAACTTAGTAAGATGAAGGCAAATCTGAGATGTCTCACATGGTACCATTTAACAGTGCATTTTCAGTGTTGAGATCTCAATACCATCTATCAGAAATACACCCGCTTAGACTGGTGTCCATGCATAAATTCAATTCCTATTAGCTTTGCCTTCCTCATGAGAAAAGCGTTTGCCAAAATAAGCACTACTATTTCAGTAAAACACATTTATTTTCTACAAACTGTCTTTTGCCAAGTACTAATATAAGCAAATGCCGAAAGAAAAGTAAATGGAAACAGAAATTTGGATCCTTATCCAAAAGAAATTAATTACGAGGTAGTAAAGACTCAAAGCTGTATAACTGCTTTCGATCATATTTTAGTGTTTCCTTCCCAAGATTTCTACATGTTCTCACATTATGTCATCAACTGTCAGTTTCTCTTATGGGTACAATTTGTGATAAATGTTTATTTTTGCAGGACTAGGTTCTACTGATTCACTTCTGGATTACCCACTTGTTCCTTGGGAAACACAAAATGATTTTAGTGCAGGGGAAGGGAATTAGAAAAGAATCTTAGTTGGGTTGCCCAGAAGCAAATCCTGAGGCAGTGATTCCAGTGCAAGTAGTTTACTTGGGACGTGAAGAAAGCACTACAGGGAAAGAGATGGGGAGAAGGCAGCCAATGAGGAATGTGTTACTAGCAAGTCACTGCACAGGCTGTTAAAACTCAATCCCATGGGGGAAACCCTGGAAGCCACTGTAGAACACATGCTTCAGAGTCATCCTACCTGAGGCGTGAGTGAGCCTGAGAGACATTCTTGCACCAATGCTCAATGGCCAGCGGTTGAGCACTGCTTTTGGGATGTTAACTCTCTGAACTTCCAGCCTACCTCCTGGGTGGGCAGAGTGGGCATCTGTAGCCAGAGAGAAGTCCCAAGGCAAAGAAATGTAGTGTTGGCAGCTGGAAGTCAGGCCAGTGTATGCTGACATAGAAAGGGCTGGGGACATGGGTGGGACACCAAAAGATCATCTGCAAGGGGTGAAATGCTTACCAAACCACAAATGAATTCTTTTAAAATAACCTATGTTCGATTCACTTCCAAGAGCATAGTTAAGTTAAAAATAGGCTACATTATTTTGTATATGCTTATATTCCAATTTTACTGATCAATAACCAGTAAGTCCTTGGTGAAGGAAAAGGACCCAAATGCTCTAGGTCAAAGGGTATGCCCATTCTCATAAGAAAAGCCAAGGCCTGAATAAAATTAAACAATGGCTAGTGGTCCTTTCATCCATTTTGGATCACTGGAATAAAGTGTATTAAACAACAAATTCATTCAAACAAATAAATGACAGATGTGGTAATTTAATTAGAACTGGCCAGGAAATATAAATGGCCACCCATCAATGTTTTTTGCTTTCTCTCCATTAGGACTTGAGGCCAGGAGACGTATCCGGTAAGCGGAACCTCTGGGAAAAGCAATCTGTGGATAAGGTCACTTCCCCCACTAAGGTAATCTACTGGGAGGACTACTATTTCAGAGATTGTTTTCCTGATGTATCCTGCAGCATGGTGTCCTGAGGTCAAATGAGAAATATCATTGACACGCAGATCTTTGCCTGCATGACCATCAAAAAGACCTGTCTATAGTTCAGTGGAAGGAAAAGTACTGAAGCCTCTGGCATTGCAGGTTTGTCAGTCATATAGCATAAATAGCCCAACCTGTGCGATGGTTCCCAGTAAGACGTCCTAGATCCACCATAGCGGTAGAAATGTTAACGGCAGAAGGCTGTACGGGATAACCATGGTCTGCATTTCCTTACAAGATCCCAGCTCAGCACCACAGTCATTTGAAGACCATACAGAGTAAAACATCAGTCTCCCTGAGTGGTTCCAAAGCTTCTTTCTGGAACCACTCCAGGAGATTACATTGCCATTGCCAGTAGCCTAGGACTCAAGGTTGCTATGGCAAAATATAAAATAATATTCAAAAGTAAGGCAAAATTCACTACCCCTGGAAAACTAATGGTTAAGAATGCTTAGATTCCTTTTTTACTTTTTGTCTTGTGGTCAAAGAGTTTGCTTATTCTTCAGAAAGAGGGCTCTGGGCAATATCTAAATGATGCTCAGAAAGCAAATAGGACTCCTTATTGTACAAGGAGCTGATTCAGCTCCTAATTGTTGTATCCCCTCCCCATTTCAAGTAACAGACCCAATTTTCTCCTTTAACAGAGGGAAAGTTAAAAAGGGAGAAATCAGAGGCCAGCAATAAGTAGGATTAGAACAGTGTGTTTATGGGCTGATTTAGAACTCTAGAGACAAGCACTTCTTAAGCAAACTTAAGACTAAAGAACACATAGAAGGCAACTAGAAAATCAGGGCACTTCCCCGCAGTGAGAGAATTGCTTCCACTTTCCTATTTTCTAGACACACTTAAGTCTGGTGCAGCTGCCCAAGTATAATGTATCATACTTCATCTTCTCCATTAGTTATGTATTGTTCTTTCATTCCAATAAAATCCACTAGCCCAGCCTCTCTACTTAAAGTGACTTTTAAATAAGTTCAGTTTTTCCAAGTCATTGCTAAATATATTAAAAGTACCTAGTAATAATTATCACCACTACAAAGCACCAACACTAAGGGAGCCTCCACTCTATGCCAGGCACTGTTCTACCTTCTCAACCTACATTATCTCATTTGATCCTCAAACCACCATGTGAGGTAAGCAGTATTATGACTCGTTTTACAGCTGAGGGAGATGAGGCACTGAGAGATTAACATTCCCAATGTCACACAGTGAATAAGTTGCAATATCTGGATTGATACTCAAGAAATCTGATCTGAGCCTGCATTGTTAACCATTAAACATGCTATTTTCTTTTGAAGACACATATTCAGCAGAAATTATAAAGTTTTAAAATTCCTTTTATAATTTTCTCTTGGTGACATGAAGGAGGAAGAATTTTTTGTTCGCTTGTTTCTTTTTTTTTTTTTTTTTTTTT